AAGCACATAACCGACCACTATAAACCTTCGGAGCTTCGAAGGCAAGTGTCGGCCCTCTTGAAGCACATAGAGGGGCAGGACTCCGCCGTATCCTCTACAAACCTGAGGATCATGCAGGGCTTGCCTTGCGTACTGGAGAACAGACGAAATACTAAGGGAGCTTAGGGAGCACTAGGGAGCGATGCGGAGTACTTGATGAACACAGGCGCCTTAATGATTTTAATAGGGTTTGGGGGTAGATTATACTGTAGTTATGATAAGGAACCCCCAACACCCTATTCTAATTTTTAAGAGCCCTACCTATTATATGCCACACCCGTTCCTCGAAGGCCTCATAAGCTTAGGGCTCAGAGCCGAAGGTCTTGTCCGGATCGATAGCAGAGGGTGCCATGCTGCGCGTCCGAGTTAGGGCTTAGGGTTTAGGGTTTAGGGTAGTAAGATGACTTAGTGTGCCGAGTGGGTTACAATTCTGCCGGTGTTTGTCTTTGCGTTCGCATCCTGGATCAGCTGAGCTTGCAATTCAAGCAAAAAGCTATCCTTTTGGTGCAACAGTCGTACAACCTCTTGCAGACCGTGGAACAATTGGATGACTCACAAGCTCGCAAGCCAAATCACAGTCTGCACCCTAACACGCATCACTTCGATTCCACAGCCCGAATCCCTCAGCCGTAAAGCTCTCATGCAGGAACCTTGCAAAACCCGCATAAGAAAACCCTATCAACAAACGCGTATGAAACACAACGCCTTACTTCGCTTCTGGTAAATCCATATTGGACTGAATGATTAGAGCAGGGCTTGGGGGGGTTTGTCATGGTAAAGCTATATTATTTACCAACCCCAAGGAACAGTGTTAGACTTAGTCAGTGTCCTATGAGCCCTAAATCAGAAACGCCCAAACAGATCCTGAACCCCAAACCCTCAACTCAAAACTCCTAGCCTTAAGCCCTGTTCAGCATGGGCTTGGATTGTGTGCCAGCGACCACACCTCAACAGCAGGGGCCTTCTCGTTTAACCTAAGCTCCAAACCCTAATGATACTTGGAGGTTCATGGGTAGCTATAAGTAGGGTTATAAGTCCCCTTTTTTGGGTTACAACTATAGTTACCCTACCTATAACCGTTTATAACCCTACTTATAACTACCCATGAACCTCCAAGTACGAACCCTTATCTGGGGTGCTATGTTAAAAATGATCATTGTCAATCCTTATTAGGTTTTCTTATAACTAAAACTTAAATTGTATCCAACAAGGACCCCTAAACCCTAAACCCTAAACCCTAAACGGTTTAGGGTTTAGGGTTTAGGGTTTAGGGTTCAGGGTTTAGGGTTTAGGGTTCAGTTATGATACGCAGCCCAGCAGCTGGCTCAGGAACATCAGCGGCTGGTCCGACAGCTCCTTCAGCCTCGATTCGGCCCAGAGAGCATGGGTTTACACAGGGGTTTAGGGGCTTAGGGGCTTAGAGTTTAGGGCTTAGGGTTAAGGGTTTGCGGCTTAGGGTTTAGGGTTTGGGGCTTAGTTTGGGGTCTGCGCCAGAGAGCATGCTTTTGCAGGACTCTTATAACAGTTTTACAGGGTCTTCTGGGCTTTCATAGGTTTGTTTAACAGGCTTCTTCGACTCCCACAAGGGCGGCAAAGAGTTTTCATTTTATTTAGCAGGCTTGTGAAGGGCTTATGGCGGTTGATTTTCAGGGCCGTGTATATACAGGTCTTGAGACGAGCAGTGCAGGGCTTTATACACAAAACCATACGAGTTCCGGGCAGCGCTTAGGTTTCAGGAGGTACTGGTACGGGTTCAGGGTTTACTGCTTCGGAACCGGGATTGTTCCGTCTAATCTTCGAGAGTCGGTCCAAATTCATACTACTTGGAGGTTCATGGGTAGTTATAAATTATAAGTATGGTTATAAGTCCCCTGATTTGGGTTATAAGTATAGCTACCCTACTTATAACTCCATTTATAACTACCCATGAACCTCCAAGCACCTCAGTCCTGAGAACCTCATCAGCTCTCCATGCTTGCTCTCCGGAACTCCAAGCCAAAACCATCTAGGAGGATCTGCACACAAGGCCCGACATTGAATGCAGAATGAACCAAGAACAGCAGCCTAGGGGCCTGAACACTTAGACATCATTCCCGGAAAATCTCGGAACCTCAAACCCTTAACCGCACGCTTTATTTCCCGAACCCCAGACCTAATCCCTGCTAACCGTAAGCCCTAAACCCAAGCTTACGCCGGGCAGCAACTCGAAGAAGAAGCCTGGGCCAGTGGGGTTTTAGGCTCAGGGCACTGGAGTTGCGCTTTTTCTAAGGCGTGCATCTTATTAGTAGACTTTTGCAATGGTAAGAAAGCCGCTCATAAACCTGAAACCCAAAACCCAAAATCCTTTGCTAAGCAAACTGGAGCATCGACGCTTCTGGGTGTGGTGGTAAAGCAAGGGCTCGGGGTTTCGAATTTGAAGGCGACAGATTGCAAATTCAGGGCTAAGTAAGGGTTTCTAAAATTGTGCCCAAGAACATTTAACATACAGCTCCGAAGATCAACCAAAACGATGCATGAAGCAGTGTACTCCAAAACGAAGCTCCGTTTGAATAACAATCAACCAAAACCCGTGGACAAATCAAATGAAGTTGCCCTGACCCACGTGTACCTACTTCTTTGTTGGGCCCAAGTATCAGTCGCACTCAAGGCGTTTATAGCAAAGTTACAAGACGAAGCCTTCGTAGGTAAGTTAACACAACTGAACATGAAAGTTGAAATCGCAGGGCAAATCGCAGGAGGTTGTAGCAAAGAAGCCAGGCTTGGCACGCGACTCGTAGGCCATGGTGGCGAAATTCGGCTTTCCAAGGCCTTTCGGGGGTCAAGTGTGTTTAGGAGGAGTGGGGAGGTCGGGCAGGGTTTAAAGTTTGGAATTTGATACTAGCTTAAGTGCATTTACAACTTTAAAACATTCCTGCGTGAGTACGGTTCTCGTATGCTTTGCTTACGACAATATAGACTAATCCCTACAGCCCATCCTTTGAACCCGTAAAGACGCTTACAACCCTCATGATAATTGGTGTATTCTGCATAGGCCTGCCTTCACTGATCCATCCGTGGTCAACCACCACCAATGTCACATTGGATGGCCTTCTCTGATCCTGGTTTCAAGGCACTTGGAATTCAACGCTTTTGTCAGTCAAACTGCGGGTTTAGCCACTCGCAGCTCAGCAATAAAAAGAAACTGTGCTGGGGGCTTGAAAATGGATAAAGAAAGGGTGAAGGGATTTCTGGGGCCTGGCTCACTATGGACTGTCGTTCTACTGCCGTGTAGTGATTCTTCATCCTGTGGAATTCTTGTTGCGCAGACTACCTGGGCACGCTGCTAGATCCTCTCCCCTTGGACACAGTCGACGATGCCTAATACCCTAATATTTAGAATAGGGTTTTGGGGCCCGTTACAGTATAAAATTCAACGATGCCTAGTAAATATAGGGGCCCGAATAATTAGAATAGGTTTTTGGGGCCCATCATAGTATACTTATAATAAGGAACCCCCAAAATAGTATAGGTAATTATTTAGGCCCCTACATGAGAAGAGCAGCCAAACCGAACCCCAAGACTCCTAGATTCAAGAAGCTTCAACAGAACCGTTGAGGGTTTTGGGGGTTTGGGTTTAGGGTTTTAGGGCTTAGGGTTTAGGGTTAGGGTTTAGGGCAGATTTTGAGTGCTTGAAGTTTTCAAAGGCGGCGTTTAGGCAGGGTGTGCAAGCGACGCACATGCAAGCAACGTATTTATGATCCTTCTTACAAAGCGCCCATGAACCTCTAAGCAAGCTCGGCTGCCAGCTTTCTGGCAAAGCCTGTCTTCGGTCACTGCTCTTGGGCTGATATGCTACTCGAGCTTGCTGCCATCCCTAATGCAGCACATCGTCATCAAGTTTGGTCAATGATCTGTATAGCGCGAAGGATATCCCTAAGGCAGTTTCACAAAGTAGGGCACCCTGATTCAGATCCTAGGTAGCAGGATGTTGATATAACAGCTCAAAGAGCCACCCCAACATTCAGAAACCCCATAGAGCCTAGGGTTTAGGGTTGAGCCATAGGGTCGTGGAAAATGGCCCTCACCAGGGGCATAAACCACTGCACGCCGTTGATCAGGTGGCCAACGAGGTCCGCATGGGGAAGCCTCGGTTTCCCCCAAATGTTTAGGAGGTCTAAACTGTAAACCTTTAGGGTTTAGGAGTTTAGGGTTCGCGCTAAATCGTAAAACCTAAATTTTGCGGTATGGCTTCAGGGTCCAGGCTCTTCAGGGTGTAGGCTTCAGGGATTTTTGGGGGCTCGAGCTACTGGTACCAAGCAGCATCACCAGAGTTCGGCTGCTGCAGTCCGCGCCCAGTTCGGCGGGCTTCGACTCAAAGCCATATCTCAGCCTTGCTGTACAGTAATCACTTCTCCGCGTGCTGAGCATGTGAAAGCTTCTTGGGAAGCCTTTCGTCTGACGTTCCTGTTATGTTGCAGCGAGGAAAGAGCGTCTAGTTTAAGCAAGTGGCGCACTCATGCACGACCGCAAGAATCCCCGGCGGACTTGCACATGGCGACTGGCTGCAGACAGCTCCAGACCGCGGCAGGAGAGTGTCGCACCGTGCTCCAGCTGCACCGGGCACACCGCGAGCTCTGGCCCATCCCATCTCAGGGAGCTGCGTTCCGACGCCAATGCCCAGGCATTGGTAAACCTCATAATATAGGGGCCTTAATCATTAGACTAGGGTTTTGGGGCCCCTTATACGATAATGATAATAATACTAATAAGAATAATAAGGACCCCCCAAAATAGTATATGTAATTATTTAGGCCCCTACATTAAGTGATGCAAAAACATGAACTGGCAAGGCATCGGGGTCTTAGGAACCCGGTGGGGCAGGGGAGTGAAGGCTGCACGGAAATACCGGATACGACCAGTCAGCCATATGTATTATAATTTAATATATTTACTATACTCTAATGTAATCCAATACCATGTAAAACAAGATGAGTGAATCTAATACACATATGAGACAATATAAACTTAATACGTTATAGGTCTTCAGTGGGCCTGTTGCCAGCACATTGCAGTCCCAGGCGCCAGCTACGAGCGCGCAGTGTTGCCCCCGGATCTGTTGATCCAGCTTCGTCTGCTTCGGAGATGCCGCCAGCAGTATCATGTGCGATGGACAGGAAGTGCCACAGAGTCGCTGGTCGAAAGAACCTGGATTCTTACTAATTCCTAAGAAACTTGATTTAAGATACTTGTATCATGGTAAGGAAAGCTCTCTAAGCCTCTGAAATTTGCCTGTCACTATTGCGATAAAAAATCACACTCACTTCTTGGACGGAACTCAGGAACAGTGTCCACGAGTCGTCACCTGGGCACAAAAGCATGGCAGGCTTTGTAGGGAAAGCAAGCCTTCGCCTAAAGCCACTCAACATTTGGGTAATTTATGAATCTTCGTACTATTCGATATGATTGTGGGGTATATTATATTGGAATTACCCATCTGAGGAAGAATGTTGACCACTCTTCGGACCCCTATATTGCGCATATAGATGTGTTCGATCTCCAGATGGTAACAGATACATCAACGGAACCTCTAAGCGTATAGCCCTGAAGCTGATAACCGCATGATCTATGGACAACCTATGACAACCGGAGAACTGAAAAAACAAACAGCTGCATAAGATCTTGGTATCCAATGTAGACGCCGGAATGCATACCAATGTCATTCCCTGAAGGTTTCTCACTATTGTTCTTGTAGAATATACCCCAAAACCCTATTCTATTCATGAAGGCCCCTGATATTATGCTGCGTCGCGGCTCTTTATTCCCAAGTCCTCCTCATTCTGAAGGGAAGTGCAGCACAAGACCCTGCATCCTGTGCGCCTTCATCCTTCGGCTATCTGGAAGTCCCCCCCATGTCTCAGGAGCCGGCAATCGGCAGAAATAGTGGCCATCACCGCGGCCATGGTGATCCGGGAAAGAGATCGGCTGATCTCCAGTATGTTGGCATCCGCGGCAGCACATAACAGCTCCATGGCTATGCGCATGGCCAAGCAACCGACCTGGCAGAACGGAGATGGGATTTCGGGTTTAGGGCTTAGGCCCCAGATCAGATCAAGGGTCGGCGATGCACCTGGTTCTACTTGGAGGTTCATGGGTAGTATGGTTATAAGTCCCCTAATACGGGTTATAACTATAGTTACCCTACTTATAACCCCATTTATAACTACCCATGAACCTCCAAGTAGCCTTTGGCATCCAGGCCAGTTCAAACTGCCGGGCAACCGCATGAAACAGTGGTCCAAAGACCTAAACCCTAAACCCCCTTTACAACCCTGTAGCGTGACCCCATGAACATCCATCCTAGAACACTTCCTAGGCCAGCCCCATCGGAAACCCTTGAAAACCCGAGCCATTTCAGCTCACGGGCCGTCAGGGTCACATGGAAGCCTCGCTCAAGGGCTTCTGGCCATGTGCCGGGAGGCTCACCTCAGTGCCGTTAGTTCGAGGCCCCCAGATCCCAGAAAGTTGGGGGTTTCGGATATAAAGATTTCAGGCTTTGGGGCTTCGGATGCGAGGCTGGAGGGCTTGGGGGTGTAGGATGTGAGGCTTTGGGATCTACGTAGGTTTAGGGCTGAGGGTTTAGGGTTTACGGTTCAGGGTTTAGGGGTTTAGGGTTTAGGGTTTAGGGTTTAGGGTTTAGGGTTTAGGGTTCAGGTTTAGGGTATATGGCTCTTCACTCTGTGCTCTTCGGGAGAAACGAACCGAGGACCCAGAAACCCCATCACTCACAGAACCGTTCAGTCCGGTTGCGGTCGCAGCCATACTCCAAGTACCTCGGGGCTCATAGGACAGGCTTCGAGGTTGTTGGCAGACTGTCATTTCAATTTCAATCTACACTACCCCACAACCCGAAGTTCTGTTTAAAAATGCCTTTTTAAAGCAGGCCTCGTACACAGCAGCCCGGTTTTAAACGCCTAAACCTTAAACCCAAACAGTCTGGAACTATGTATTCGCTATTCAGGTTTCCGGGGTCCCAAAACCTGCCACTAAAACCTCGTCTTCTCGACTGATTGGCTCAGTATTGCTACAAACAAGGTCTCAAAAGCGACAAATTCTGAATCAGCAGACGCCTCGCGTATTTTCATCAGGTTGAGGAAATCGGGTTTAGGAAAACGTCTAGGTCTCAGAACTAATGCAAACTGGAAGTATAGAGCTTGCCAAAGTAGAAATGTGGTAAATCGTTCATGAGCCTGTTCTCCTACCAAGATGAAGCAACCCGTCTAACTGAAGACCTCATTGCTTGGATTTCCCTCGACCGGAACCTGGGTTGGAAATACCGTCGATACCTCACGAGCCATTAATAAACCTAAACCCTAAACCCTACACCCTATTAACTAAACCCTGAACCCTACACCCTAAACCCTACACCTTATTAACTAAACCCTAAACCCTACACCCTATGAATACCCGGAGGCACTCCGATCCGCTACCGCCCCGGGGCTCTTAAGGGGCTTGAAGATTCATGTGGGGGGAACCTGACTAAGAAACCTTCAGTTCTTCTTGGGGCTCTCAGTATGTATGGGATACTATTTGGGTTTACGGTTTCGGCGCTCACAGTCGGACAACGGTTTAGGATGGTTTTTTTTTGCCTCCTACTTAGCAAGGACGAGCCCGCATTGCAGGGTTTAGGGTTTAGGGTTTAGGGCGGTTTAGGGTTTAGGGTGGCTATTTAACCTGGGGTTTCTTAATCAGGTTCCTCCATGATTCTGCCGCCTGTCCCTGGAAACGTGAAAGCCCCGCCTAAGGCCGGGCCTATCTTGCTACGGGAAGGTGTCACGTCCTTTGGGTCATTGGTCAGGCAGCTACAACTGCAGTTACTACTACCATCAGCACAAATGTGAGCGCCGGCTGCCAAAGTTTTGGCCATATGTGCTTTCGATGAAACGAGTTGCTGATTTAGGCTTGCTGTTGCCTGTGTTTGATTGCCTGTTGGTCCAACTTGTGAATCACCTCGGTCCCGGCTTTCACATTTGGCTGCTGCAGCTACTCGGCTTGGATTTTGGGCATGTACTTGATAAGGTTTTCCGCGCTTTCTTGGTCCGACCAACTAGCAGCCAAAGACCCAATCAATGTTTATCCCTGGAGCCGTTCCGATCAAGGTCTTTGATACTAGTAGCACGAGGGTTTGGAGCTGCTAGCAAAGGGCGGGCAGCAACCGATACATCCAAAGAGACCTAAATTCAACACCTCACCCTAGTCTCCGATTGGAGCACGGACTTTGCGACCGCACTGAAAGCACTTCAGGGCCCAGGCACACCCCGCCATCCACGGAAGCCTTTGAATTGCCTACGTAGATGGGAACCACCTCCTTCCCATCAATCACCTGGAACTGGTGAGCTTCAATCCTAGAGACTACACTATGATTCCATAATGCGTAAAACGTTCCCATTTGGGGGGGTGATCTCTAGAATTTCAGGAGCACATGCCTGTTTATGCAATTTTTGGAGGCCACGGAAAACTCTGTAAGTGTAAGGAGGAGAAATAAAGCCCTTGATAACATCGCTTCGCCAGTGTTATGGTTAGGGTCTCGGGCCTAACATTGGGAGTTTGGGGATAAGGGTTCTCCTGTGTAGCACGTGCGAACATGAAATCCCAGCCCCTAATGAATTACACCCCGCAGCTTTAGAAAATGGTTCAGAACTTGTGACTTCTGCTTTTGGCTCACTTGTGAGTCGCGCTGTCCCGTGGCATTGTGGCTACCGGGATGCGAAGATCATTTATGAGTTAATTGTGATGTCCATGCTGGCTTTTCTCGAACAGGCTTTTGGAAAGTACTTGGAGGTTCATGGGTACATATAAGTATGGTTATAAGTCCCATGATATGTGTTATAATTGTAGTTACCCTACTTATAACCCCATTACTAACTACCCATGAACCTCCAAGTACAAGCATCACTTGAAGCTGTTTGCCTGGTCTCAGGTGCCACACGAAGTGCTGTAAGGATGCGGTCATCCTGAGGCTCTTAACTAGCAAACTCAGGATTTAGGGTTTAGGGTTTAGGGTCTAGGGTTTAGGGTTTAGGGTTTAGGGTTTAGGGTTTCAGAATGGAAGTTAGAAGCGACAAGTCACAGATGAACAAATGCAGAAGTCGCAAGTGACCCCCATACCGCTTGGCAGGCAGGTTGTGCCAAAAAGACGAAGTTCGTACCCTTATGCAGGCCTGGTTACTGATGCCGCCGTCCCCAACTACGCCACTGGCATTATGATTACTTGTTGGTGGCTGCATCCTCGTTTATTAAGGCAAGTGAAAGCACTAGCTCATCTGCTCCCAGACCCTTCTTGTCGCCTTGGGGGCTGAGTACCCTAGATCAAAACAAGCTTAACATTTTGAATCCTGAAGGATGAGATCAGCCCCAGAATTTGAAGCTTACCTACTCAGTTGCTAAGTAGAGGCCTCAATAGTTAGAACAGGGAAAATCTAGTAAGGAACCCTATGGACAATGATTGAGGCTTCTATATTAACCCTAAACCCCAGGCCCTCAAGCACGAACTCTGAGAAAGCACCCTGCCGCCGGGCCGCACGAATCTCGGTCCCAAAGTTAGCGTAGGTCGGCCAAGGCACCCCGGGCCTTGGGGACTGTCGGAGAAAGTAGGCGAGCAGGAAGAGGCCGAGGAGGTAGTGATTCGTGCTGGTGGTCGTCGTATATCCAACCGGGTGCTATCTGAATGTATTGCTGTATGGTGTGCTGTTGTTGTTGCTGCTGGTCTCCCTACACGGCTTCTCTTCCCGGAGATAGGCCTGGCGGTGAGCAGTCTGTGGAGTACCGCCAGGAAATGCTCGAAGCTGTTTTCGACCTTGGGATCGTCGTCCGGTGACCGTTCTCGGGGATTGTGCACGTGGGGATGTATGGCCTACAAGGTGTGAAGACCCTCAGGATTTCCTTCTGACATCCTGATTGGGGGGCAGCTTGCCGCTCCATTGGACCATTTCCAATCTCGAACTCTCGAACACTCAAGGAGGGAGCTCTCAAGATGACACACGGCCGGTTGAAAGCCAGCAGAGCAACAAATTTTGAAGGCACAGCGCCCTCTAAACACGTGACATGGTCGCCTCGGGCCAGATGCTGAAACAGTCGGTGGGTTCGAATTCTGCGTCTACATTCACACGCCGACAGCAAGATCTGCACGTGCTGCTGCTGCGGCTGCTGCTGGTACGAAATTAGTCACGATTTTGGAGCTACTGTAACATAGCAATTCAGTTCAACTTACCACCAACAACCGGCAATAGCAGCCACAGCAAATCCAACAACAAAAGCGGGAGAACGGCGATTGTGACAACAACAATAGCTTTGACGACCACAGACACCGCCTCCACCACAATCGTTACCACTATTGACACCACGCTGATGACGATAACAACAGGGCCTGCAAAATGATCAGCAACAGCATCTTGAGCAGCCAAGCAACAAATACTACCACCACCAAAGCCACCACCGCAACAATACCAAGCGACCCCAATCACGACCAAAACCGGCCCACCCGTAACCGGCAGCGGCAGCAGCGGCGGCGACTTATGTTAGAACGTCCGACGAACGCTATGAAGACATACGGTCAGAAGCATGCGCATGAGCACAAGTCGCTGTAGCAGCTCCACCTCAAACATTGACTGCCACGACACCAGACATGAATGTCGGTAATCGTACCGCGGGTACTGACACAAACACCAATCACGAAAAGTGGTGATGATGATGCCAGCAACACGAATAGTAAACCCAATTTAAAGCCCTAAACCCTAAACCTCTCTAACCCTAAACCCCTAAACTCCAAACCCTACTAACCCCGAACCCAAACTCCAAACCATCCCGGTTGAATGGTTGGAAACCGATGCCTGCCACGGGGCCCAGTCGATCCGCGCGTCGAAGCACAGTTCGGTTGGGCAGAATTCCTCACCTCTGCCACAGTCGGGGGGGATCGGTTTTTTCCCTCTCGCATGGCTGAGGTCTATGCGCTCACGCGAAGCTTTTTTTAAGTGTAATGTGCCCCTTTCACAAGCAAGGTTTAGAGTTAAGGGTTTACGGGATCTGGAGGATTCTTTCGGATTTATGGCTTGTTGAAGGGTTAGATGTGTCAACTATGGCACAGGAGCACTTTTCACATATTCATTTGTGTGGCTGCACGTCTGTACGCGTATATATATATATATACATACATACATACATACATACATACATACATACATACATATATACATACTTACTTATTTATTTACACACAATCACATACCAGTCATGTACGCACACATGCACCTGTCATACCCCCAGGTCGTGATCCGCCCAGGAACAGGGCTCGAAGAAGCACCACTGCCCAGCGCAGTTGTTGTCGCTGGCGAAGATGTAAGGGCGGACCTTGTAGCTGAACCTGGCTCTGGTCCCTTACCATCTGTTACTACGGCGCCGACGACGACTCCTACTACCACCACTACTAGCCCATTTTCGGGAATAGTTAGGGCCTAGGGCTATGCGGCAACAAGGATGATGACAGTGAAAGTGAAGGTGATGGATCGACCTCTGAACCACAGAGTCTGAATCCCAGCTACAATCCCATGCCCTGACGCAGCGAGGACCCCCAAACTTCCTGTTCTTTGGTGTGCCAAGATTCCAAGTCTTCAGCACCGCCAGCGTGCGCTGCCAGGCGCGATGCGAGAGCAGCGCAGTGCTGTGATGCTGGAACAGCGCTGGCAGCTTCTCTTGGAGCCTCAGACATCGCAGGGTGTTCTGGGAAGGGTTTTATGAGGGTTTCTAGAGGGATCTATAAGGGATCTATTCTTGCTGAATCGCCGTGCAGTCTTCTTGCAGATTCAGGGCCGTAGCTAACAAACAAGCTGCTCTACATTTCCAGGCCATGGTCCATGGTCATCAGTCATCATCACACTTCAAGGACATGTCGGTGCCGAACGCAGTGCCACGTCATCCCCAATGAACCGGGGCTGGCGGAGAAACAGCGTTTCACAAACCGAGGGACCGCGAAAAACGAAAAACACTCCTAACTCTAACTGCTACTAAACCTCACAAACGCGCCAGAGTAAAGGCCAAGGATCTTGATATGCAGGAAGAGCATCTCGACTACGTCAGCAGAATGGAGGATCAGGCCGGATAGCAGGGAATCCTCTCAGTACAGTGCTACCAGTAGGTGTCGATTTCAAGAATTTCCTCATGAGTCATAGCTGGGTCTTATATCAAATCAATAAGAAAAGTTAAATTATCCCAACTTGGTACCCAAAGAGCCTCATGCACCAGGATGGGCCATGCAAGTCGCAGACTTCCGTCGACCATGCTCTGCACTCATATGAACTCGAGGGTGGTTTGAGAAGAACGACGAGATCCGGACGAAGCCGGGCAACTCAGGCATTAGACCCGAAGCTCTCGATCCTAAAAAACCGAAATCGGACATGCGAGAGCTACATCCCGAAAGTTCTAAGCCCTGAGCCTGCAAGTGTGGAGCCCACTCTTTTTTGCCTCAGCCGCCTTAAGGAGTCCAGAAAGGGCCCCTAAACAGCAGTCTGTGGATGCAGGTAGGGGTGTGGGCGCGACATCGCTATAATGGGGGATAGGTCTCAAGACTTTCCGCGTCAAGATGCTACAAGACTCTAAGTGGTTGTTGGTACTTGAAGCCCGCCTACCCCCATAATGGGACGTATTGCCACCTAAACCCTAACAGTCCCTAAACCTTCAGCCGTCTTAAGATCACATATTAATGTAGGGGCATTCATCATTAATAATTAGAATAGGGTTTTGGGTTCTCCTTATCAGAACAATAGTATAATGGGCCTGAAAACCCTATTCTAATTACGAAGGCCCCTATATTACTTGTTAATTCTTTGACCAGGTTGGCCCTTTCAAGTCCTTCAAAATTATTCTGAAATACGATCCTCTTAAACCCCATGAGGACATTGTGGAACATTACTAGACCCGGCCTTTCAGGGTTTTAGGGTTCATATTGGGGTTTAGGGCTTTAGGGCTTTGGGGGGTGGGGGGGAGGGTGAGTGCCCTGCCTAGTTCAAACGTTGACATAGACCAGCCGCCAGTCCTTGCTGCCTTTCAGCTGATGAAGCTGCCACTCCGCGCTTATCAGCCGCGCTGGGAGCACCAGCTGCGGACATTGAGGAAGGGCATGTGCGGCCTGAGGGCTTTGAGTTTTTCCGGCACACGTCACGGGTTCGGCGGTTTCGTGGCTTTCTGCTTACAGGGCTTCGGCTGTTAAGGTTTAGGTTTCGGGCTCTGCGGCTCCAACGCATGCCTGACCTCAAAAAAAATATGAAGCATCAACAAAAAAATCACAAAACTACTGCATCCGCTACCCTTTTTGCTACTGCACACCTCCCCACCCAGAACACTAAGCCCTTAAACTTTTCGGAGGGCTGTCTTCGAGGCGAGGAGAAAGGGCCGGAGAGTCGGATCAACCAGATCTGGTGCCTCAGCAGGAACCGCTTTGGGCTCTTGAGGCGCCGGGATCCTTTTAGCAATTTCGGGCCAGGGTTGCTTAAAGGGTTCGTCAAAGGGATCCTTAAGAGCATTTTTGGGTTTCGGGCTCAGCTTTCAAGGGTTTCTTTCGTGTTTTGCGTGGGTCGAGCCTCCAAGTACTGCTGCAGCCAGTCCTAGGCGTTCGAGTGCAGGGTTCAGGGGTTTCAGGTGTAGGGTGTAGGGTTTAGTGTTCAGGGCTTGAGGGTCTGGGGTTTAGGGGTTGGCGTTAGGGCTTTCGGTGGTTTTTTCCCTCTGGCACTGCAGGGGACTATGCTCATGGGTTTAGGGTTTGTCACATTCAGGTTGGACTCTCACGCTCGCACCAGGCCGGCATGGATTCACGACAAGTCGGAGTAGGAATCTATAACTCAGGGCTAGGGGCTACGGTCTCTCTGTTAGGCTCTTACGGTTTTTGGGGTTTCGGCTTTGAAGGCTCAACGGGATTTTTAGCTTATTGTTGGGTTCTAGGGTTACAGGTTTGACTTACGGCATGTCGGCGTCGTCAGTTTGACTACTTGAGGTCCGAAATGAAGGTCCGCTAGGTTTGTGAAACCCCCTTCTACTGCTCCGGATCCCTAGTCTTGCTACAGCGTGAAACTGTAGTTGTTTGGGGTTAAGCCCCAATCACAGAAAGTCAAAGCATAGAACCACAGACCCCTGCGAGCCCCAAGCTAACAAAGCACTCCACTTTAGACCTGCGTTGCCATCCCGAGCAACTACCAACCTCCAGCGGGAATGATCGTTCTTCTGAAATATGAAATACGTATTCAGCTGCAACTAAAGAAGACATGCAAAGCATTACATGTTGCTGCCGCTGCCAGTCTCGCTGCCTGTTATTACGACTGGTTTCCTGGTCGTTCTGATATTAATGCGAGCGTTTCTAGTGAATTTCGTGACGAACACCCTAAACCCTTTCTATAAGGAAGCTCTCTTCTTTCCCCGGGTCCTCGATCAAGCGGACATACGTCGCCACGTGGTAGCCGCCCAGATCGCACCAGGGTTGCCCGCCGGAAAGCAAATCCTTGCTTGCAGGTGAACTTAAAGTTCAAAGCCGGGTTTCTGGGTTTAGCGTGGTGTATAGGGTTTCTACTACCCCAAAGCAGGCAAAGGTTTCTTGCTCTAGCAGTAAGAGTCCGGTTGCATCTGCGTGATGTACTGGACCTCCCTGCTGGCCTGGCCGGGAATTGCCCCTAACCCTGAAGTGAGAGTTTCGGAGACTGTGGGATCCAAAAGCAGCAAATCAGTAGGATCTTCTATAATAAGGGGGCTTACGATTTACGAGGTTTTGTCATTTGGTGCCATATTCTCGTTGCTCGAAAGCTCTATCCTCTGCACCATCCTGCACCGCTATCGAGGCATATCCTCTTAGATCATAGAATATTGAATGCATGTTGAATGCACCTTGAAGTACATTCAACGTCAATTGCTTTCAAGAATGCCCCTCTACAAACAGACGCCGGGTACCTGCAGGCAAAACACCAGGTTCGGGCCTGGGGCTTCGGCTCGAGGACTGAATTATCAGCTCGGCCACCATTGTGGTCTCTTGAATTTCACCCATGTGGCTGTCACAAGCATGGTACGACATCGACCTTTGTTACCGCAGGCTTTTCCGCTCACAAAGTCTAGCTGTGAGGTCCAAGTGATGCCTTCGCGCTCCACTCCCGCACGCGGTCGTGCAGCCCGGCGCCCACAACCGTGACCACCACATAGCTCCAGGACCACCAGGGAGCCATGACTTCATGGCACTCCGAAGCACAGCGTTCCGAGTCTGGGTCTCTTCGGGCCGTCGGGTGGGCTCAGTTTAAGGCTTCCGGTTCGGAAGAACCTCCTTAAGGTGCTGAAGGAAAAGCGCCATTGAGGAGGCTGCCAACAGGCTGGGACAGAGAGCCGAATCGGCAAGCTTGGCCCAGCGTGAGCCCTAAACCCTAAACCCTGCTTGGAATGAGCCAGAAGCCGCCGAAACCTTCAACTTCGTGGCTGCTGCAAGAAGATGAGGCATGATGAGGCGACTGCTCGGGGAAACTCTGGACGCTCAAACCCTGCAGGCCATCAAACCCAAACAGTCTACCTGCTCCCGTTCGGCTGCTCCGCCAGCGAGCTGATGAATCAAAGCCCCAGAACTTGCAAACCTTCAGCAGGCCAACCCTGAACCTTGAAAGCACCACACTGCAGAGTCTGCGTCGCAGGTGTCTTTGTCCCAGCGCCGCTGGCGCAACGTCAGTCCCACCACGGCCGCAAGGAAGAGAATCGCTTGGAAAAGGAACGCGGAAGGCCCGCCGAAGCTGTCCTGAACTCAAGGTTCAGGAGGCAAATATTCGCAGTTCAATTGAAAGAGGAGACTGGGAATATCCCGATTCGACTTCGGGAACCCACGACCCTAAACCCTAAACCATAGTCTGACGGGAGTTTTTGCCACAACTGCATCCGCACTGTCGGGGACATATGGCCTGTTGTGTGCAGAAGTTACGTGCCTGTGAATGCACAAGTCTCAGAGGCCAGTAGAAACTAGCAACCGTCGTAGTAGCGATGTCACTTTCCAGTCCTTGTCACTTGTCACTACTCTAAGAATTGATGCCTCCATGTTAAAGTGTTATGCTTCCAACGGAGTCGTGTCACTGCAAAGTCACTGCAGCAACATGGGTTCAAGCATGATAAGAGGACGCGAGCACCTTGGACTTTGACACACTGAAAGTAATTCCTCCAAAAGAATTGTGGGAGTTACTGGCACCCGGCCGAGGGGGATTGAAAATGCTGACTCGGTTCGGAGAAACTGCGGCTGAGAGTCTGCTACAGCACTTTCTTCGAGCATGTGCTGATTCAGCTGAAGCTCAACATCTCAGCTACCCAGCCCTGCTCGAATCTAGTCCGCTGATTCTCGAAAAGAGCTCTCAAGCACCGAACCAACTTTCACCAAGGCCCCTCAAAACCCTAAGCCAACACCCGAACTCCGGCAGTCCATCAGCACTCCGGCCAAGACAGGTGCGGCCACGCGAAGGGCAGAGGAGCACACATCTAGCCTCGGGTGGCGAGGGGGGAACCTACCCTCGGATGCCCGAAACCTATCTCTTCCTCTTTTCCTCACTGTTCTTTTCTCTTTTCTGCTCCCTCTTTCTCTTCATTCCCTGCGATTCCAAGTCTTTCTGTGTCGCTCTCTCGCGCTCTTCTCCCTTCCCTCCCTCGCTGTAGCTGAGGGTTTACCTCAACTTGTTTACCATTTGGAGTTTAGGATTGCGGCTTCAGGACCTGCGCGACGCTCGCAGCGCTTTCGCCTCAAATCCCAAGCCCCATGCCTTTAGCCCTCTGCTGATGCGTTCCCTTGCGGGAGGCGCGAAAGGTCAAAATCTCGCCCTGTTTGCAACTAGCTTGCAGCGGAGACTTTGCCTCAAAATCCCAAACCCTACTATATGGACCATGCACTGGAAACCCGACATTCGACCTTTTCGAAGCTATAAATCCTGAATCCCATTTTCTGCAAGCCCCAAACTCGCAGACCAGCGGCAAGCCCATCGCTTCGCCTTGCCGCTGCTCCGGCACTTCTTTGCCTTGAGCCCAACGACTCCAAAAAAGGCTTCGATCAAGGGGTTGAGGGTTCTTTTTTGGGGGTTCAGGGTTTGAGGTTAAAGTTTCGAGTCGAGATTTTACAGCTCACAGTAGACGCCACAAACTCGGAGGGGATGAGGGGAGTGATGTTCCAACTATCCTAAACCCTAAACCCTAAACCAACTTAAAACCTAGACCCTAAACCCAACTTTCTGTCTTCTGCTTCTGCTGCTGTAAGCGAAGATCAACCCGCAAAGTCCTACATCCTATATTCCTAGTACCGCAGACCCAGAATCTCAAGCCCTGATGAATTCATCCCCTCAACCCCTAAAGGAACCCTATCTATAGTACCCTTATTGATCCCTTTAAGGAAAGGCCCAGTCGCTCAGCAACGCTGCGGGAAAACTTCGCAGCACCGAGTTGGCGGCAGCAGCGAGGGGCGCAGAAGCCACGATCGCTTCGGGGCTCTGCCTACAGGAGCCCAATGGGTAAAAGGAAGGCTCAACATTTGGGAGTTTCAGGGCTTAGGGTAGTTATGATGGGGCTTTCTAGATTCTAGAGCTCTTGAAGGGTTTTTATGCGAATCACCTGAGCATACCTGAACATAAATTTGTTGAGGTAGCATCCCTACAAGGCAACAGGCTTCAATTTTTCTGGGTGCTTCGTTGTCCCTGATACTAGAGAAGCCCCGGTTGTCGGAATACTGAAAGAACCCCCTTTTGCAATAGGCCTCGTTGTCCAGCAGCCCGGTTAAGCCCAACACACACACACACAAAAAAAAAAAAACAAGCGTAACCCAGAAAAGCCCAAACAAATGAACAGTGATTCAAGAAGGGGGCCAGGCGTAGTTAAGAAGATTTCAACGTCCGCATGGAGGAATTGTTGGGGTTTACCGTCAACTACCATAACCTACTGCTCTTGGTAGGGTTTTGTGGTAAGCCCCAGTATAGATTCTATACATAGAGAGAGAGAGAGAGAACAAAAAAGAGAGAGAGTGAGAGACCCGACAAAACAATAGGTTTTGGTAGGCTTACGGTTTCCAGCCAGGGGCCAGAAGAAAATCGCCAGGGAGGCGGCAGCGAAGCTGCCACAGCCAAGCTGCATTAACGTGGTATCACCTCGGCTCCCCCCCAAAAGATGTGGAAAGAAAGGGCTCTCGGGCTTGATGGTTTAGGGTTTGATGTAGGGTTTAGGGTTTGGGGTATAGGCTTTAGGGTTTTAGGCTCTAGGATTTTGGGGTCCCTTTAAGGGTTCCTTTGAGAGCTCGGGGGTTTGGTGTCACCGCGGCATTTTCGGGTCCCTCCCCCAGAACTCCTGAACTGTACCTGGAGGTTCATGGGTAGTTACAAGTAGGGTTGTACGTAGGGTAACGGTAGTAATAGCCTATATTAGGGGACTTATAACTCCATTTATAACTACCCATGACCCTCCAAGCACCCCTTCAAAGACGTCGGTCTTTGGGATTTAGGGTTTAGTGTTGAGAGATCTCTAGAGTTTACCGTTTTAGGCTCAGGGCACCCCTATAGACGACACGAAAAATGGCGTTATATGATATGTTTAGAACTACGGTAATACCCTGCCTCTAAAACTGTGCGCCATGCAGCTCCACCCGCGGCGGGCTAAGCTGGCACAAACAGTGCCAGCGACCAAAGCCTGACGAGATGCAGGGCTTCGGGCTTTTTAGGACTTAGATATTAGGGTTTAGGGTTTAGGGTTTAGGCTTCGGGGTTTTAGGACTTAGAGCGTGGGGTGCGAGCCTGTAAACTGTCCTTGTACCTTTGGGTTCAAGGAGTCTGGATGGGTTTTTGGGGTGGAGGCTTTGGGGGGCGAGTTTGGGGTTAAGCTGCGGTATGCGGGCCACGTGCTTCAGTGGAGATCGAACCAATAAGCAAGGAGAAACTGCAGGAAGCTGTAACTGCAGACACTAGCCGAATTGCTGAACTCTTGGGCCCAAGAGATCAAACTTGTCATGTGGGCAACAGGCACGAAGAGGTCGCCGGTCAACTATATAGCGCATGTTCAGGGTTCTGCGCGCGGTTTCGAAACAAAGGCGTACTTCTGAAGCTCCCACATAGACGGGCTTGATACAGGTATGGGGTGTGGATGTGGATCCCTGATTTGGGGCGCTTCGTGGCTAGTTGACGGTTTTCGGCTTTCCATGTGAGTCCTTGGACAGGATGCCGGGCAGTTGGAGTTCTTTTTCCCAAGAGATGAGGTTGAAGGCAACTCAGAGCATGCCCCTAAACCTCCAATACACCATGTTGCATCAAGGTAAGCTCCGAACCCAAGAAAAAATGACTAAAGCCACAAAATCCTAAAAGCTTTATCCCGTGCGCCCTGAACCCGACAAAGCCTGGAGGATGGCGGAGGCGGAGTTAACTTTGGCAATCCAGGGCTTTCCTGGCAACGTCCCATAAGGTCCAGGCTGAGGAGCTGCTTCAAGTCATGTGGCTTTTAGGCGCTTGGTGTATGGGTGTTGTTTCGGGGTTTGGGGGTTTGGGATTCACGGCTTTTGGGCCTTCGGGTTTGGGAGTTTTGGGCGTTCGCGCGGTCGGGCTGGTCTAGGTTTGGGGTGGGCTTAAGGTTTTACATAGTAGGCTTTAGGGTCAGACTTCGGTGCTTATCTGAGATTTTTCCAGAACTGTAGTTGGCTTCAGGGTTTAGCCTTTCGGGGTTCAGGTGCCTTGAAGCTTTAAGGGGTTTAGTGTTGGTCAGCACCAGGCCTTACACGGGGCGCAGGGCCCCGGACGAGGATGCAGCAATGAACCCCTAAATTATGTAAACAAAAGCCCCCCGAAGGCTGAAATGCTGGATCACACAAAGCACTAAAGCTGGAAAAATGGTGGTGCCCGAAATAGTGGACCCCGAAAGACCCCAAAGCCTAAAACCCTAAACCCTCAACAACCCGAAAGGCCCGACTTCTACTGACTTCCCAAGGCAAAGGCTCCAACAATTAGCGCTAAAAGATGAGTCCCAGCAAAAGGTGCCGAGTAGACAGACAAACGAGCTGGCAGCTTTAGGATTTACGGTTTAGGGTTTAGGGCTTTAGGGTTTGGAAAAGAATAAAGGCAGATAGCTATTGGACAAGGGCTTCGGGGCATTACACCCCAGCTCCTAGCAGCTTAGAGCCCGATCGAGCCTCATGTAGGGGCGTTGGTGATTAGAATATGGCCGTGGGGCAGATTCTAAAGCAATAATATCGAGACCATAAGGAGCTACTGTTTGTAGATATTATCCAAAACGCTAAACCGTACTTCGACCCTACTTAGACCTGTTTCCGCGTGGCAAGCAGCCCATGCCAATCTTCATAGAGTAGGTATTCAGCGCCACGCCCTCCGCAGCAGGCGAGTCGCCCATAGGGTACGTGGGGTTGGGACAGCGCAGGTGGGGCTTAGAGGGTTTCGGGTTTAGGGCAGGCTAAGGAGGGGCTTGGGGAGGGCTAGTAGCTTGTCATGTCTGATTCGAGGTGTTGCTGCTACACCTCTCGCAACTGGACAAAACAAGGTGATGGTATAGGAGTTGCGGGCACCCAAACTTGCGACAAATTGACCGGAGTTCGCACACGATATCCCCACAGCCAATGACTGCAACTGGAATGCAGGCAGGGCATACCTCAGACGCTCCTGCAATCCCTCGAAGACATCGGGGAGGCGGAGGGTCCGATCTAGCTGCTCACCTCGACCGAGACACATTGAAGGCAGAAGAAACAGGAGCAACAACCTCAAAATCTACCCTGAACCCATGAACTCTTAACCCGTACACAAACCTTATAGAATCCCCACCATCTTCATGGCAGGGTGTTCTGAAGCTTACGGCCCAAGACAAGACACATAGACCCGCTAGCATCTTGGTGTAGGCCCCTGCTCATGAAGGCCGGAGAATTGTGATACCTGCTGCAATCCTCATTAAGGGAGCGGGGCTTATTACTCAGGGGTCTGCATTCTACTTGTACCCGCCTGGTGAGATACCAAACCGAGCTCTGGAAGGGCGAGAAGCAGCAAGATCATCAGCACCTTCTTTACAGGAAAGTACAGGTGGGGAGTTTAGGGTATATAGGGCTTCTATAAGGCTTCTATAAGGTATATAGACTTTCTGTAAGGCTCGTACAACGGTAACTACCCACCTGAAAATGTCCTAGACTTGGTTGGGGTTTGCTGAAGGGTTCGGCTGAGTCAAGGCTCGTCTCAAAGCTGGTGGTGGGACTCCACGGGTTCGAGGCCTAGGCTTTTCCGGGTGTCAGGGGCCTCGGTCGGGTAATGTGTGATTGATATGAGGCTGCTGACACGTGATATATGCTTGCAGCTTGGCAAAAATGCCATGGCCCTAGACCCTTTTTGTACATCTGGACTTGATGAATGCCAGCACCTCAGTGAGCGCAGGACCAAGGACTCGTGCCGAGGCACCAGCACAGCGGGAAAGGGGCCCTAAACCCTGAACCCGGAGCCCAATTCATGGCTTTGCGCCAAGCCAAACCCCGAAAACCCCTGAGGCGCATCTGTAGGCCCGCAACCCTTCACTTAAGACCCACAAGCCCTCGCGCCTCATTCTGCTGCCAGAGGGGTACTCGAGCAACCTGATCAGGGGTTTCGGGATTGTTTAGGGTTTAAGGTTCAGGTTTTGGTTAGTAGGGTTTGGGCTGCTGGGTTTAAGTTTGAAGGTTGTTCGGATTGCTTTCATGCAGCTTTGCGCGAAAACGACTGGGTTCCTGCTTGGTCGCAAGAAGCGTTGGGCAGAACAAGCGCTAGAGCTAAAACACACGTCCTTCAAATCTTAAGCAAGGTGCCGCAGAAAGAGGCGCCTGAGTGACTCTCGAGTTTGTTCTGATCTGTTAGCAGCAGTCTGTGACTTTCATGCAAGGTCTTCATGAAGCCACGGTTTTTGCCAATATCCCACTGCCGGCCCGCATGCAAGCACCGATCTCCAAATCCTAATTTCTGAGTAGGAACCCGATAAGAAACATGAAGGAAAGGAGCCTCAGTATCAGGGTGATCCCCCAAAAACCCTAAACCCTAAACCCTAAACCCTAAACCCTAAACCCTAAACCCTAAACCCTAAACCGAAGCTAAGCTCGCCCACCTGGAAGGAGTTCTGCGTACCCCTGCTTGCCGTTGTGGGCTCGGTAGTCTTTCCCCCGGGCCTGGCTCTCTTTCTCGTTCCTCTGCGGGGCGGTTTCCGGAAGCACCAGGGCCATGGCCTTAGGGTTTAGGGTTTAGGGTTTAGGGTTTAGGGTTTAGGGTTAAGGGTTTAGGGTTTAGGGTTTAGTTTAGGGTTTAGGGTTTAGGGTTGAGGGTCGAGGGTTTCAGCCTGGGGCTAGTAAAGTAGACATGGACTGACATCTTCAGTTTGAATCAACTACCAGGCAGAGCCTGATTCACCAGACAGATACGATGCTGTGAGAAAGAAGTCCGACAAGAAGTCCCCAAATCCTCTGGATTAAAGAGTAAATCATAAACCTTAAAGCTCGTTCCAAAAACAGTAGGTCTAAACAAGAGTTTCAAGGGCTTCGATTCAGAATTGACGTTTCCTTGGGCTTCTGACTACTCTCACAGCTCGGCGGAGTAAAAATCGGAGGGCTAGAAGACAACCGCTCTCAATGTGGAAGGTTCGGGACGTACGGGCTAGGGGTTTCCGTCTTCCGCAGATTCAATATAGGATTCGTGGCCTCAGGGCCTAGTGGGGGGGCTCGCAGACTCTACCATTCGCCTTTGACCTTGACCGGGTTTATGGATTCTGGAGTCCCGAAAACGCACTACACCACACCCAAAACTCCCGTATAATATAGGGGCCTTGATAATTCGAATAGCGTTTTTGGGCCCATTATATCGTTATACTGCGCTTATAATGAGGAACCCCGCAATAGTTTTGGGTAAGTATTTTAGCCCCCCACATGAGAAAGACGGGGAAATCTGGGGATCCCACGGGGGCGATCACGGCAAAGACGGCGGCGGCGAGGGCGATGGGGCCGAACTCCCCGAGGGCCTCCGACAGCTGAAGCGTTGAAAAGCTACCGAGCTGTTTGGGTTTAGGGTTTATGGGTTTAGGGTTTGGGGTTAGGGGTTTAGGGGTTAAGGGGTTTTGGGGTTAAGGGGTTTAGGGTTTTAGGGCTTAGGGTTTTGAACTTAGCTTCTAGGGTTTCGGGACTTATGCTTCTAATTGGGATGTCGGTCTAAGGGTAAGGAATGTTAAGGATTTGAATATTTAAGGCTTGGCATTTAGGAGCTCGGGTTCCGATGTGTTGCCCCGCGCCTGGCTAGGACGGTTTGGCGCTCAGGCTTTTTTGTACTTTGCCTCCTCCATTCCACGACTCGATCACAGCAAGGTGGGAACCCTGAACCCTTTTTTTGTTGAGCAGGGCCTGCAGCGCACCCTAAACCCCTAAGAGAGTGCCTAAACCCTTTTTTTTGAGCAGGGACTGCAATGCACTAAGCCCTGAATCCCTTCAGCCAAAACCCTAAACCCCTAAACCCTAAACCCTCAAACCCCGTAAACCCCTAAGAGAGTGTTTCTAGGGCTTGGAACTGACTAATTTTCGAGGTGCCTCCTGAGAGGCCAGCAGAGGTCCAATCGTGCAGCCGGTCCTGGGATCCGGGGATCCGTTAAGAATACCGATAGGGTTTAGGGTTTAGGGGTCTCAGCACTCACTCTCGGACATGCCTAGGGGAGGTGTTTGGGGTTGATGGTTTAGGGTTAAAAAACACTCGTAATCAGAATACAAAAACCATAATAAGAGAAAGCAGTTACAAAGGGATCATCGTAGAAGGGCCCAAGAAGGCGTCAGACCGGAAGCTGGCTTTGGGCTTCCGAGGGCTCAGGGCTTCGAGGTTGGGGTTCTAAGCCTTCCCCGGGCGCAGGGAGACGTAAAAGGAAACTACAGCTGGAGAGTTCAGGGTATATAGGGCTTCTACAAGGCTTCGATAAGGACGGTATATAGACCTTCTATAAGGCCCCTGAAACGGTAAATTACCCACCTGAAAATGTCCTAGAGAGGGGACCACAGTTGAGAGGAGCCCTATTCCAGGGTCTCTCTACTAGCCTTCTGTGAACACGAGCTGCGAGGGAGGGACCGTAAACTCTACACATATCGTTCAAAGCTGGGAAGCCGGGAACTGAGGGATGGTGTCATTCTGGTAATAATAAACCCTGAACCCTAAACCCTACACCCTAAACCAATTTTGGGTTGTGTAGACGGGACATCGAAACATCAAGCTGCCGTCAAACACATCGAAGACATCTACTGTAGGAGCTTTAATAATTAAAATAGGGTTTTAGGGCCCATTATACTATAAGTATAATAAGGAACCCCAACATAGTATTGGTGGTTATTTTGGCCCCTATATTAGATTATATTAGGGTGTTGACTTTGATACCCACCTAGGTTCCAGCATGTTCGCAAGCTTCTAGACAAAGGTTCAAACACACAGACAGGTGGACGGACGGACGGCCGGGCGGACGGACAAACACAGACTGACCGGAATGCAGACGGGGCCCTATTCCGTAACTCTTTTTTGGGGATCCCTGAAAGACTGTGGCTTCAAAGTTGTGTTCTATTCTTTTTTCAATGCCTCTGAAAATGACGACCATGTGGTCATGTTGTGGCTTCCATACCAAGCCCTCAACGTCAAATAGACCGCGGGGCGCAAGGGCAGTGCACTGGTACGCCATCCACCGCGAGCGGTCACCAGTGGCCTGGCAGGAGCATGACGGCAGGGCGGGTTGACATCTTAGGATTCTGCTGTAGGGTTTCGGCTTGTTGCTTTAAAGTTGGAAGTCTGGTGTTGAAGGCTTTGGGGTTGAGGGTGAACAGAACAGTGTGTAACTGCTTGAAACTTTCAGTCCAAGCTAAGTTTCAAACGGCCAGAGCTGTTGCTCTAGCATTGGAAACCCGACAGAGCCTTCTCTGAGCCTATCACACCCTACACATGACAGAAATCGAATTTGCAGGAGCAGGGGTTAAACATGCGAGTCTTCCTACACCTTGAGCCTCAAACCCTAAACTCTAATCCATATACCCTGAGCCCTAAACTCTAAACCCAGCTAAGCCGCTAAGCCCAGTGCAGCCGGCCGAGAACAAAAGGAGCCTCTGTGCAGTCCGCGACCACTGCGCGGCTGACAGTGACCGTCCTTCCAACTCAAGGATGTCGGGCGTTTACGGTACCATAAGGGTGTGTATAAAAGTACTGATGGTGAGAATAAGGGTAGGATGAGGGTTAGTATAAGGGTACTAGTGATTCAGGTTGACAGTTTTACTGAGTTACTGAAAGCTTAGATGATGTGGGTCTTTCTTTCCCTCCTACAGGTTTGAGGGGGTGTCGCAACTGCGCGGCAGTTTTACAAATCCGACCATCTTCTTGGCGGTAGTCCTTCAGTAAAGTCGCAGAGGAGAGCCCGAACAACCAAAGCGTGAATCTGATATCCCCACACGAGGCGTCGTTTGGCGCTTCTTAAAAAGACACAAGGTTCATAAGCCAGACAGCCCAAACAAACACTCAGATGACGATATCGCAATGAGTGCTGAAGCCTCGTGCCGTGTCGCAATCGAAACCCTTGTTACAACCAATTCTACCTGAGCATTACTTGGAGGAGTTGTGGGTGCCCGAATTAGGGTGCTGCTACCCCCAACCCTGCTTACTGAATCCCGTGATCGCTTCAGCGACTTCAACCCCTAAACCCTTTTGCATCCGGGCTTGGAGAG